AGGCACACTTAGTGTCCCTCTCTCCTGTGTAAACTGGTCCTCTTTTGCTGTGATGTTCTCTGTGTTCAGAATCTTCCTTTTTGCTCAAGCATCAAAACCCACCAGAAGTGTTCCAGTAACGCTTGCCCTAGCTCTCCCAAACAGGATCCTCATGGCTTTCTGCTGCGCCTCCACAAATGTCGCAGGTCTGTCTTACCACCTGACTTCAGGTAGTCACTTAGTAGTGATTACATGGCTCCCCACCTAGAGTATGAGTTCTTTTTTGCCCACTGAGCCCACAGAACTGCAGCACTTGACACTTACAGCCTTAATGTATCTGGGGCTAACAATTGATCATTTTGTATTAATCAAGACCTGCTGAGTAAAATCAGAAGTTGTCAAAAGCTTTTAATTCTCATTTTTAAATGATTCAGAAAAAGCATATGCATAGTAATTCCGTGAAGTTTATACTTAGCGTTCCCTAAGAATACACTGCAGGGTGAACCTTATGGTTAGCCTAATTCTTCCTAGGATCTCAATGGTTAGAGGAACTTTCAGGGGAATTAGCAACCAAGCTGTTCCCCTTGTCCACAACTTACATGCTGCCTATAGGAGGGAGAAGGAACTAGAACACAAGGTACCAGGTGACTGGAGTGCACGCCTATGGGAATACCAGCCCTCAAATATTTCAGCACACTTGTGTCTCCCTACACATGTTGGGGTAAGGTATTATGTGGAGTTACATAAGAAGAGAGTTTTACTGGGAGGAGTGTGCCTGTTCAATGAAACTTCAGAGAAAGCCCTACTTTGTTACAAGGAAATTGAAGCTCAAAGAGAAACACTTGCCTAAGGCGCCAGTGAATTGAGATCCTCATCCAGTGTCTGAGCTGCTCATTTACCACCACCTTACTTTGTTGGAATAAAGATGTTTTGGGTTTAACTAAAATTACCAGCAATCTACCTTTGAATTTACTTTGTGCTCTTTGTATGTGAAGAGTCCCCTGGATAGAAAAGTCCTGGCAGATCTCAAACTGAATTCACCTTCTTCCACATCCTTGTGTCCCCTTGGGTTCTCCTCACACACAGGGACATCAGGGACATCCTGCCCTTCCCATCCTCACCTCCACTTCCTTAAAAGGGCTAGGGTACTTTTCCCTGAGGCCTGAGAGCAGGTGCTACTCTAGGATCTGTCAACTATTACACCCACTTCAGGCTGATGACAGTCACAACAGGGAGCTTGACACACCTCAGGTGAGTCCCACCGCTGATGTCCTCCTGGGGGACTGCACTCTGCTGGTGACCTATGTTGTAGATTGTGAGTCACAGTCAGCCCGCCAGCCAGTGTGGCCCTTATAATAGCTCAGACCCCTTTGCCCAAAGTGCAGTGTCTGGAGTTTAGCGTGTATTCAAACTGTGACTGAATGAAGATGAGGTAACAACATTCCTTAGTCCAGATTTTTACACCCAGCAATAAGTCCACCAGCCTGAATCACAAAGCAGAGCTTTTCTAATCATAGGATTTGTTACATACAATGAAGGAGTTACATACACTACTGCAGAGATTTGTGTTTAATCGTTTTCTCACAACAAAACTCATGTAGACCAAGCTGGCATTTATTTTAGGGAACAAACACCTTGTCTTGCCTAGCTTATAGGACCACCAGAATTAGAATTGCATCTGCCACTTCCTAATCCAAAAACTGCTACATAAGGAAAAGAGACAAGTAGATGAGTGGAAGTAAGCTATTAAAGTAGAAACTACAGTCTTTGTAAGGAGCTTTGTTCTAATTTCCCAAAACTTTGGGAACACCTGGTAAAGTGTGGTGGTGAGATGCAATAATTAAAAACCCTAAACCTCCCAAGTAACATTAGATGCCTAAGTCAGATCTGCACATTGCTGTAGACATTTCCAGCATGTGTAGGAAGCAGCAAAGCAACATTACAACATCACAGGTTGTGCAGTGGGTTTCTTGTGATTTACTGGGACACATACACTAGAGAGGTTCTGAGTGGCCAATGAGCCCAAAGAAGTAATCTTTTACTTCCTAGAAACAAGACACTAGGAGTGGGTCACATTACTAAGAAAAAAAATGTAAATAATCATGGACACAGAATTGCCTCTGCCTTTTCTGCTCACTCTAATAAATCAAGAACTCAATGTTTTGTATTTTTTTTTTAAAAGCAATATTTACTTAGCATTTTTAAAGAATAATGTGGCAGTGTTTTCTATGAGAAAACATAAATCTGAGTAAAATGAAATTTAGAAACATATGGAAGAAAACATTTGAAAAGGGTATATAAGTAATATTTGACTTTGTAGCTTGAAGCTAAAATACAAAATCAAGGTCATAGCTGAAGAAACTATTTATTCTTTGTTTGTAGTAAATGTTTCACAAGTCTATTGTCCAGTTTAGAAAGTCAAAACACAATACAATTAGCTAAATTTGCTCATCTTTTAAAATCTCTTCCATTTCTTGCCCAAATTTGAGTTTTCCTTTGTAGTTTTCACATTATGATATAGAACATTTACTCTACAAATACTAATTTAATTTAAAATGATATTAGGTTTTGATGACCTACCTATTTTTAGCCTAAGGACTAAGTGATTTTCTGTATTCATGTTTTCATCATTTTAATGAAAATGAGGTAATATGCTGAAATGGTACTTTCTTAGATTGTAGTAAGGTTTATATACTGATTTTTCATATATGCTGTGTCATACTTTTCCTTTAAATCAGATATAAATATATACATATTAACATTTTACTGCTATAACAAAATGCTGTTTAAGAATTTTATATTTTGCAATCATTTTAAAATTATTCTAACATGAACAGTAATAGAGCTGTAATAAAGCAAAGCTTAACTATATAGTTTTGTGGTTGTTTTTGAAAATTTTGGTCATCATAGGGCCTATTTTAATACCTAAAGGATTTATGTCCATTTGTATCTATTCTTAGACAAGGCAGAACTTACTCCTCATTCTGTTTCTATTAATATGCCAAATACTGAAGACCGCCTTAATAACATTTTAAAAATGGTGAATATTCATTTCTGTGTAACAGTCAAGATGCCACTCAGTCTACAAAAATCTCAGTATTTTGGATAGCTGTGTAAAATGTTTCAGTTTTGGTCACTACAATACCATTCAATATATGTATATTCCCTCAATGTAATAAATGGCAAATTTACTATATTTTAAAAGAGGGCTACTAATTGAGCAATATTTTACAAGGAATAAAACAAATGACAAAACTACTAAGGCTTAAAACGTGCCTAAATGTTACCTTAAAAAAAAAACTGTTCAAAAAAATAACATGATAAACATTGTCTTGCACAAATAATATGACAAATTCTGAATGAATTCCAGTTTTGTAGGTCAGCCATAGAATGTTTTGTTGTTTGTAAAGGAATATGCTCTTAGGTAGCCATGAAAGTCTTCTAGATTTATCATGATGTTATGGAAAGTTCTTTTCTCCTGATAGGTAACTTTAAACTCATTAACACTTTCACCATGTAAGACCTGATAAATTATTAACACCTTTTAATAAGGGGTTGGATCACATTCTGACCATATTCTCAAGCATTTTACATACCTTTGCTTATTATAATTGTGTTGCAAATGTATAATCAAATTTGTCTACTTTTATCTATGACCACCCTTCCTGGTCTTAAGCTATCCCTCTGGAAACCCCGTTTAAATATTCTACCATTCATCAAATTCTCAATGACATGCCCTGCTATATTTCTTGCACTAAATTTAACTCTCAGTGTTCATATTTATACCACCAATGAATATTGATAAATATGTTAGTTACTTTATTAGTGAATGAAGTGAGGCACTGTGGTGTTTTGTCACTACGCTTTATCCCGTTTCCTTTCTGGATATTTGTGATGGATCTTAGGGCACTAAAGACTCTGAGGGGTTCTGGAAGCAGAGAAACTCATTCTAATTTGTACATTCAATGTTTTCCCATTTACCTAACCATGGTAATGGGCACTGTTATCATATACATACATATACGATGAACAATCATTAAAGTGCTGCTCTCTCCAGGTTAAAAGTATACTAACCTATTCTCTACATAAGTTTATTGTTCATTCTGTTTCAAAGACATTACAGTTTTTTAACACTAGAAATATTTCAAAAATGTTTTGATTTTGAAATTTTCAGGCATTCGGTTAAAGGGAATTGTATATGAATTATATATGTTTAATGACATGTATTAATTTATTTGATAAAACCACACACATTGACCTATCTCCTCTACCACGGAAAAGAGTCAAAGTATTCAAATACTCTTTGTAATATTCTGTGGAGTATTTTAATTCACAAAAATAGTATGCATTTTAGAATTATATTTAAAGTCAACTTTTGTATCATTTGGTTGTCAATTATAAAAGCAAGGTACGCATGCTAAGAAGTACTGGCTACATAATAGAATTGCACCCAAAGTGCTTCCATTATAGGAAAGCAATTCCAGGCTGGGAGTGTAGCTCAGTGGTAGAATACACTCACATATGTAGTAAGGTCCTGGGTTCAACCCCCAGCACCACACTGAAGTAAGTAAATGAATAAAGGAAAACTATTCTAAATCTATTATATGTACTTTTAAAAGAATAATGTTATGAACAAAAAGAATACTAAGATATATCTCCTTCTGAAGGTTAGTATTTTTTTTAATATTATAAGTATCTGAAAAAATGAAGTACATGCCTGAGATGTTGACAAAATTCTAGTCAGATTAGCAATGCTGTTATAATCAATGATTCTAGAAAGATGTGTCTTAAATTTTAAAAGTCTCTCTTCTGCCTAGCTAAGAGAGGAGCTGAACCAATTTTTTTTCTTGATCTGACCTTAACAGTAGATAGCACTCTCTCCATGATACTGTTGTCTGAATATCAGCAAAAATTACTGTGCAAACATATCTCTTAGAAAGCTTAACTGGCTGCCAATTGCTTCTATTACTAAAATCTATGCATATGTACATTTGAAACAGAAATAAGCACTTGATGACATATTATAATTTTCTTATGTTAAACACTTTTATTACAGTAACATATCTGAGTAGCTGAAATAATGTCTCATACAGGTATCGCATGCTAGAGCATGACAATGCAAGGCTAACTGCACACTGTGTTGACATTTCAAGCATATTCTCTGAAACATTTATATTCATACACAGGTAGTAAAGCACGTGAGGACAATTTGAGTGATGATTCATGTTAGCAAGAGTTTTGCTTTCAAACTAATCCTCAAACCCAGAATCATCTACATTAATATTCACATGTTGCAGCAGATACAGTAAGTTACTGTTTCAACTGAATAACTCAGGACCAAGATTTGTGAACATTTGAGAAAGAAATAATCAGCCTCACCTGATTACTTTCCTAATAGAAGCCTTCTTACTAACTTAGGAATTTATTACTCTACTGAATGATGTCTTTACCAATATCTTATGTGGGGCTAAAAGGAAAGCTTTATAAAACTCTTCTTATATAATACAGCTCCATTAATTTAGAATGTAACCTGAGTAATATTCATTCAATAAACTATGTATTTATGATGAAAAAATCATCAAACCCATCAAAAATGGCAGCAATCTCAAACTATGCATTTCATTTTACTGTACCAAGACTGTTATTTGTAGTAATCTTACTTTATATGAATCCAGAAAACCAATGATATTTTATATATAGAAACTTCAGCCTGTTTCCTAAAACTGTCAGCAGACAAACTAAACTTGGTCCAATAACAAATTTTGTCTAAATTATATTGTTGTCCAGACCAAAAAAGAAAACAACAAAGCACACCACACACTTCATGGAAAAGTAAGATTTAAAAGGAAAGATTTCTTTTCTTTTCCATGCAAATTTCAAAGGAACATTAGAAAAGGAGAAAAAAAGGTAGCAGTGTAAGCAATAAAAATTTCATCATGAATATGCTTCTAAAGTTCCAATTTATTTGTTACCATTATTCAAAGTATTTAAATAATAACTAAGATTTAGATAACATGGCCCTTAAAAACTTAAATTTCTACATTTTAAGAGAAAAGCAAATATTCAAAAATTATCATGTCACAGGATCACAAGAAATTGTAGTTATACTTTTTATTGTTTAACTCTTATAGTAAAACCAAGACTCAATTTGTAAATTAGAATACAAAACATAAAAGGAAAATATTTCTGTCTCTCTTGAGGTATTTCCTATTTATTTTTAAAGAATATACACGTAAGAATGAATCAGTCCTTTACAGAAGATTAAATAATGAAGTTTATGCAAGCATCAATTTTTGGTACTTTGACAAGTTTCAGTAACATATAAATTTAAATGTAAGAGTTTTTACACAACATGACTTTGATAGGTTAAAGAAGGATGCATTTGGATGAATTTATATTAAAATATCTGAAATTTCAAGTTAGATAACAAAATTCCCTACTCAGCTACTTGCCTAGTTAAAAAGAGAAAATGAAATCCTCTTCTTATTGACTAGAAGTTGCCATTATCTAATTCCACACAACTATAAGATAAAACAAAGGGTTTTCTTGGTTGGGTTTCATTTCATTTTAATGTTAGGGAGCAGAAACTAGCAGAAATATTTTGCATATTTAGACCTAATTTAGACACATGATAAAATCTGTATGATCTTTGTATCTTATGGGTAACCAGAAAAACTATGTACTAGACGAAAGTTCTTCCTGTCATTTGATCTTGTTACAGTATCATTTTTACTATTCAAGGTTAATAAAATGCTAATTAAATAAAACTTGTTGCTTGTAAAACTAATCAATAAACAAAGCCCAGCACTACCTTCAACCAGTCACACACAGGAAATGGTAACTAGTACACAAGGTTGGATTATTCACGGTGAAAACTAATTTGTAGTTGCAGACTTTATTTGTGGGTGATGATTTAAAATAAAAAGGTTGTTTCTTAGACAATTCTGGAAATCATTCCAATCTTAATTTTAGAAAGAATTTTCTCTTAAGATTTACCAAATGAGTAGGGCTATGCTTTCCTATAGCAAAATGAAATTATATTTCAATTGTAAGTCAGCAAATTACCTTCTAAAACCTCTGATGAGATAAAATAGATTCAGAGTTTTTCAAATATTTTAGCTATTTCTTTCTTATGTGGGAAAGAGATGGGGAGAGTGAGACCTACACTATCACTTGTGCTGATCTATTTTAATCCAATGAAAACATTTATAATCAAAACTAACGAGTATTTTAGACCTCTAAACATCTCTATGGCCTCTACACATCCTTGGCTCATTTTTGTGTCCTCTCTGAGTTCCTCATTAGAGAGCAGCACTACAGCAGCCATAGTCCATAGCATAGCAGGCAGTATATAAATAATGAGCACCCAGTTTTAATGCGTATCTTCACCATATCAAACCAGATCAGTAAAAATAGACAAACGTGAGTAATAAGACCGTAGCATTTAAAGTAAGGCCAGACTTAAGTAGCTAGAGAAATGAAATTTGTCCATCAACAGATGGGTAGTTTCGTACATTTAAATTTACTCATAGTTTTCAACACATATGTGTATGTGCATGTACATGTGTATATTTCTGGAGGAAAATTCCTCCCACTGTTGGATATTCTCATTTGTTTTAAATAGTACTTCATTCATATACAACAAAAGTCTGAAGTTCCAAAGCAAACAGTCTGGCAAATTAAAGAACCATTTGTATTTAAACTAAAAGTATATAAATGGCCAATAAACTGGGTTTATACTATTTCAAGTCATTTCAAGTTGCTTCATTTCAAGTTGTCTCTCCTTTGTGGTCAAATAATGAATTAAAAAATGATTAAAATTACACATACACTGACTTACTGCTAATCATTCTTATATATTAATTTTACAATATCCCAACTTTGCATTATTCTAAGAAATCTCCCACATATTTAAGAATTTTTGGAGTCACATACCTACACTAACTTCCTTCATCTTGACAGTCTTATACTTCTTCCTCAGAGACAACAGCAAGTGATTTGAAACTGAGCCAGCAAGAAAATGTCCCTGGCATGTGGATGGTAGGCAGTTATAAAGAATGAAGTACCTAGCAATATTTTAGGAAAATTCCAATTATCTTACACTAACACTCTCAGAAAATGGCTTTAAAATCAAAATATACGTAACTTCCAACTTTAGGTTACCTGCTCGCCAAGCTGTGAACTAAAACAGGCCAATTCCCCTGCCTCAGTTCTCCTGCTTTGGACTACTACTTGATTTAGTGGAAACAGATTTATGGTATTAAAGGGAGTTAAAACATTCATGAATATTATAATTAATTGTTATCTGTGAGAAAAACCATTGGAGACAGAAGTTTAAATACATTTCTAAAAGGTGAATATTGGTCTTTCTAGGGAGCTCCGTCAAGACTGCTGTTTATATTTATATGAAAACTGAAAGCTCACTCACTGGTTTTAAAAAACTGTAAGCAAGAAGTAAACTGCTACGAAACTTATATTCATGATAACATTGGACAAAATGATGCTGTATACTGATTTTTAAAAACCTTCAAGTGTAACTCAATCGTGAGTAATAGTTGTCATTTGAATTTTCTGTTCAGAATCATGTAGATTATTTTCTGGAATACAATGATAAACAAGTGGAAATTGGCCTCAACACTGTAACACTTAGTAAACATAACATATTATCCTATGACATCAAAATGAGTTTGAAGTGTCAACTCTTCTGAAGGAGAATTAAATTTAACCATATATTCAGTCTATCAAAGATATTTTCCAAATAAAAATGAGTGGCATAAGACAAAAGTCATACAGAAAGATTCTTTCAGTACCATATTTTCCTATTCTTTTATGTGACTCCCTATGAAAAGTAAAAATAAATGTGAATTTACATTTTATTTTTAAACAACTAGATTGTCTTCCACTTTAGATCATAACGTGATCTTAGTACATTAAAATGCACATTATTACAAGTAGCTATATTTTCATGTAGAGGAATTAAAATGTTAAGAGAATCAGGTTGGAATTTTTTCCAGTATTGTACAGTGTGCTATAGTAATGATAACCTGTTTTATATTTAATCCTATCATCAAGGAACACCAGGCTTCTATCTTTTGTGTTCTGTTCTAACTGGCTAACATGAATAAGGGAAATAATAAGGTATTATACTATTAATGGTTTAAGTCAAAAGTGGTGTTGTCTAAAAAATAATTTAACACTGTAATGGGATCTTAAATATCAATTCTTTTTCATATACTCTGCAGCAAAAATAACATTTCTAGCAGGAAGGAGTCAATTATAAACCTAGCAAACTGTAGACATTCACATATTTGTGTAAACAATTTAACATACTTTATTACATTTTCAGAAAGGCTAATTCTTATATTCAGTTTTCTGCGAATTCTTTCATATATTGTAATAAATATATATGTTATCTGAGTGAATGGGTGTATGTATTTTCACACATATACATGTCCTATGTACATTAAACAGCACTTAATGGTCACTTTCTTTTCAGTTTCAACTTGAGGAAATAAATGAATCACTATTATGCATAACCTACAGCAATCTTCCCTTCGATTTCACAAATGGCTGTATCGGGATGTAAACAAAACACTGGATCGAGTCATTCCAGATGTATTGTATTTCATGTTGTACGTTGGGGTTCTCATGAAGAATTGGGTACTCCCTGGTAGTAAATACCTAAAAATAATAATTAAAAATAAACTGTTACAAGCATCCCAGCATTAACACCATTCACTAAAGTGTTATATGGTAGTAATTTATCTTACATAAAAAATGCTACTATAACAATGATACAATTCATACACAAAGATTTCTCACCAGAGTATGAATATAGATACAACATACGATATTAATATCCCCAAATATTCTGTATGGCCATTGTACTCAAATGTCATGAAACTCTTTAAGTGGCTCATGTTAATTTAGAATTCACCATCACACCCTGTAACATGTGAAGCCAGTCAAATATTTAAAACAAGCTGATGAGCCACACTGATGGTAATTAACTGTTTCAAAGATACTGGAGGTACTGATTATAATTTAATAATATTGACATATTATGAATATAGATAATCTGAAAGGATAAAAACTAACATTCATAACTAGGTTACAGAAAGTTTATATTGTCAGGTCATACAGTGCTTGTGATTATAGGTTACAAGTACCACTTGCAGTCAAATGTATTTCCGAGCCTGTGATTTTCGCAGATTTTAGAACGACAGTGTAGTGTATGTACTATTTAACATCTCCATCAGCATCCTATAAATGAATCATTAATATTTTCACAGTAACATGCATGAATATTCACAATAAAGCAAACAGATAAAGCTCTTAAATATCATTGTGTTAGTCAGTTTTTCCATTACTGAGAAATGCTTGAAACAATTTAAGAGGAGGAAAGGTTTAATTTGCCTTAGGATTTCAGCAGACTCAATCCATGAATAGCTGGCTGCAAGGCAGAAACATCACGACAGAGGGGCATTGCACAGCGAAGAGATTTAGTGAATGGTGCCAGGGAAGAAGAGGAAGGGAAGATACAGTTTCAAAAGAGGTCAGAAGTGATATTTAGTAGCCAAGGTCATGATTCACTGAGACACACTCTGAAGTGTGCTGTACTAATCCCCTAGGCGAGTGCTCTCCAGCATTTCAGGCCCCAGAAAGTGGTTTAATAGAAAACAATTTTTTCCCCTAGGGAGGAGAATGGGTTCAGGATGAGTCTAAAGAGTATACAACCTAGATCCCTCACAGCATGGTTAACAAGGAGTTTTGTGCTCCTATGTGAATCTAATGCCACAGTTAACTTGATAGTAATACACTATCCAAGCAAGGGGAGCGACTACAAACAGAGACAAAGCTTCACTTACTCAACTGCAGCTCATCTCTGTGTGGTCGGGCTCCTAACAGGCCATGACCCAGAGGTTGGTGTCCCCTGCCTTACATGGCTCTCAGGCCAACTAAGATGACAAATAAGCTTAACCATGGCATTCCTACACCTGTGTGATCTTCTGATTTGCGACCAGAATCACCCATTAAACTCTGCTTACAACATTCTAGGGTTCTCTAGCCTGCCTTTCAAAATCTTTCAGAAACACTCCTGTTAACCAATTACAGGCATAGTTTAATTTGGCTCAGGGTTTCGGGGTTTCAGGTTCATGTTTGACTGCCTCCTCTAAGTGAGAAGGGCATAGTGGAGCAAAGAAGTTCATTAGTTCCTAGCAGCCAGATCAGCTGGTACACAGAGGACTAGGAAAGGTACCATATATAGCACCCAAAGTTGTGCCTCCCTGATCCACCCAAACACATCTGGAAGTGTGCTTTACCCATCCTCTCAGTGGCTCCTAAGTCAATCAATTTAATGAAATTTATTTTAATCACCATAAACTTCATGTCAATTCAGGACAGATATGCCAATAGTTGTACTGTTTGGGGTTTTTTGTTGTTGTTGTTGTTGGTTTGTTTGTTTTTTAAATCGGTACCAGGGATCAAACTCAGGACTGCCTGCTTCCAAGGCAGGTGCTTATGCTGCTGAGCTAAATTCCCAGCCCATTTTTGGGGTTTTTTTTTTGTTTGTTGTCTAGCTTTGTAATTTAGGAACAGTAAATTAGAAACAGTACACTGGACTTATCTCTTTGCCTAAAAAAAAAAGCCCTTGATTGGCATTTTATCAGTCTAATCTACACATCTAGGGAGAAACAGTTAAGGAAATCTACATGAACAAATGCAAATAAATACTATTCAAATTGTAATTCCTAGAAACAACAGGAGGACACACTATAGTCAGGACCAAAATAACTACCAAAGAGTTTCCAACAGTAAAATTATCAATAGAATAAGACTTATAATTCACAGTGGTCTTGGAAAAATAAGCAGTGGTAGAGTATCAAAGGATTTATTTTAGTTCTTCAGCTCATTAGAATCCTCAAGTATCACAAATTCATAAATATGTGATAAAAGTGAGGGCCAAGAACCTATTAGCCATTATTCTACATGAAATAGTACTGATAACTATGATACCACTCTGCCAATGGAAAATTACATTCATAGCTGTTTTATATGAAATCTACTGAAAGACAATGCATAATAAAACTGCACACAACATTCAGATTAAAAGAGCAGAATTTTCCATAATATCCATAAATATTACTTCATCATGAATTATCTAATAATGTATACTAACCCTAGTACCTAATATCACAAACTATACATAATTGTTCAAATCATTAAATTAATAGAGCAGTAAACTAATATACCACAAACTGAATTAAATCAAAATTCCATAATGGATGATGAATAATGAGACAACTGATTTCTCACATCATAGATTATATAAATTATATCTTAATATCACTTGGGTAATTTATATGGATTAATTATTATGTCAAGAGCTGGTGGAGTCATGATGATTAATTTGATACCTTTTGCTGTGAAAAGGCTTACTTTCCTATGTATGGCAAAGGTGAAAAATAAACTAATATATTTTAAAACTCCCACCATTCTATTAGTTGAGACTTGTTCTTTCCTTTGACAACACATTCTGACACACTGGTAATTACCTAGTAAATAGTAACTTCTATTACCTTTTTCCCAAAGAACTTCCAAGCAACTGTGACTACTGACATTTCAGTAATGTTAATAAAAACTTCTAAGTTAAAAGATCTTCATTTAATATATAGAAAAATAAAATCACAAAGGCCAGAACCACAGCTAACTTACATTATTTTATTACAAATATTTAAATAGTGTTTTCTGTGGCCCTTACAAATGTTAACTCATTTAGTTGCTCACAACACTTCTATACAGATGCATTTACAGATGAATAAACTTCACAATGCATTATGGGGTCAAATGCGTGTCTTATGGTCATGTGACTACTGAGTAAAGGACCTAGGACTCACATCTACAGAGCCTCACTTCAGCATCTGTGCTCCTCACTGCTATCCTGTTGCCATGACAATTTTGCATAATGTTAGTATATGCAAATCACAATTTTAAAACTAATGGGTTCAATTACCATGTATTTTTTTTTTTTTTTTTTTTTTTTTTTTATTTAAGAGGAAAAAGAGAAAAACACAAAACAAGACAAAGCAGTGTAAGGTTACACATAATACAGAACTACAAAAAAAAAAAAATAAACATAACAGTAAGAAATCACCTGTTAATAGATTACATAATATCATCTTGGAAATAGTTGCTCAAATCACAGTATCAAAGAATACAAAGTAGACATTCAAACGGAGAGACTGCAAACAGCTGTGTTCAATGATCCAAAAACATTAATATAGTCAGCTATTTAACATCCCTAAACACACTTGTTGTTATATCCGTTAGAGCTCTTTTTTTTTTTCCCTCCCTCTCTTTTTTATAACAAAATTTACACATTTTGGATTTTATTACTCCTCAGTTCTCATTACTCTCTTGGGGGGGAGATAATAAAGTCAAATATGGCAAAACAAAGCTGTAAGTCCAAACCAAGGATAGACATAGCACATGATGTAGAACAGAGTACAAGGTCATCAACAATGGTTATCAACATTGTCTCTTGTTTCCTTAAAAGGAATTGTCTATCTCATTAGATATTATAAAGTTGGACAAAACAGTGGAGAACAAGACCAATAAAACTTAGGCATTGTGAACATTGCAGGACTTCCAAAGGAGACAATAGTCAAACCAGAATGGGCATCTTTGTGAATCTTATTGCCTTCAAATTAGTTGCCTATACCTTCAAACTTGCTACTGTCGCACAGAATGGAACAGAGTCTAATCAGTCAAAACAAGATCTTGGGAGTATTACAGGACTTCAAAACAAGTTAATAGGAGATCAAAAAGAGTTACTACTATATATCCTAATTTTTTAAGTTTTTCCCTTAATTAAAATAAACATAAGAAATAGCTAAATAATTTTTTTTAAAGAATAGTAGTTACCATAGTGTCTGTCTTTTTCCTTAAAATATTTGGATAAAACTTCATATACTATAGCTTCAAATATTTCCATATCAAAAAGCCCAGAGTAAAGCCTTTCTAATTAATAAGTGAAAATTTTATAAGGCTTCAAGGCCACATAATGGGGAATCATGATTATCACATATTTTTATATATTTGAATCATTACTTACATTAGGGAAACTATTCGGTATTCATACATGCGAGATTGATTTATTTCACTTATGAGTATGGTCTCAAGCTGCGCCCATTTATTGATAAATATCTCAATGCAATCCTTCTTTATAGCTGAATAATACTCCATTGTATAGAAATACCACAACTTTTTTATCCATTCCTCAGTTGATGGACACTTGGGTTGTTTCCAAGATCTGGCGATTACAAATTGTGCTGCTATAAACATAGGTGCACATATATCCCTGTGGTATGATGCTTTCAGTTCTTCTGGGAATATGCCTAGAAGTGGAATAGCTGGAATAAATGGGATTTCCAATCCCAACTTTTTGAGAAACCTCCAGACAGATCTCCACAAAGGCTGTACCAGTCTACACTCCCACCAACAGTGCAGGAGAGTTCCTTTTTCCCCACAGCCTCTCCAGCATTTGTTGTTGTTGGTTTTCTTGATCCTGGCCATTCTTTCAGGAGTGAGATGGTATCTCAGTGTGGTTTTAATTTGCATTTCTCTAATGGCCAATGATGATGAGCATTTTTTCATGTATTTATTTGCCATTTGCATTT